GTGTGTTAAAATTATAGTTTATTCGAATTAATACACTAATTATTAAGCATTTCAGGCAAGTTCGCCTAATCAGCAATGTTCGATTCGAATGGCAATTATGACCCTACATACGCTTACTGACCAAAGCCAATGGATAATTAATCCGATAACAAATAATGTAGAAAAAGGATGTAAGTAGGTTGGAAATATTTAATGTATTAAATACATGACTAAATTGCTAATAAAAAAGCAGAAATACAATTTATCATTCTTCTCCGCCCACGATTTCAACAGTATTTATACCATCCAGATCTTCATCGGACGAATCAGAAGTATAAGCACTTGATTGCGAAGACAGATGTTCTTCCATTGTCTCAGCAAAAGGCATATCACTAAACAAGGGATCACTCGGGAACTCTATGTTGTCCAATCGAGAAATATCAAAACGTCTTTCCGCCATACCATCTATTCGTCGATCCTTAGAGCCCGTTAGATTTCTTCCGTAAATAGTGCGCATATCAGCGAGTCTCCTTTCAGCCATTTCAATTAAATAGTCTGCATGTCATTTCCAATTTTCCGATCTTTGGGAGCTTATGTCACTTTCGCTTGACTGTTGACCAAGTGCTTCTTTATTGAACTCATCAATATATTGCTGAACTCTAGGTGGTCACAATAATGGTGTCGATGGACCACTACAAGTTTGGACATTGGGCAGTCTTGCATTTGCTGCAGGCCCAAGAGAATGGGATTGCGATGGCCGAGTAGGTTGTTGAGATGGTTCAAGTAGGTGACCAAGAATCCATTTTACCCTTTCACTGATGATGGTGCTGGCCTGTTTCCATAATTCATCTACATTCTCAGGGTTAAAGCGCACATTTTGTTATTCGCGAAACGGGTCCGAAGTAAGATTGGCCATAACCGAGTCAGAATTCGTTCTTTGTGACTGACCTGGAATATCACCATTGGTGATTTGGCTAGTATTCCTATTTAGCTCGGTATTTTTGCCTTCCATTTCGATCCGTTTATCTCTCGGAACTGGGAAGAATATAGTGAGTCATAAATCCTTACTCTTATTGCGCTAACTCCTCACAAATTTGCTCAAATGTGACAATTGGGTGAGACATCCAATAAGATTGACATATTAGTATTTGTAAAAAACAAAATCCTGCACTATTGGAAGAAAATGTACATTATGAGTGATTAATTATAAAATGGCATTATCTACGAAATTATGTTCCTTTCGTCATTAATTCTTATTGCAAAAAAAAATTTGTTCTCGATTTAACCTTGAGCAAATGTGCGCTGGACTGTGACCTTGATTATACCTAACAATCTCTGTGGCAGATTTTCCTATGAATGGAATGTCTCCCATAACTACCTGATCGACCGCAAAGCTACAGAAGTAAATGGGCTTAGCGCGTGGACCATGTTGATTTGTTCTGTGTGTACAAATGGAGAGCTTAGTCATTATGTAAGTGTAGCGTGGTTTTGTTAGCAAACCAAACAAGGGCTTTTGATTGGTGGTTGACTGAGTGTTTTCCACTCACATGGCCGCACCTTTGAGCCTGTCGGAGTGCGCAAGAGATTACTTGGTTCAGAGGTGACAACGTTGTGTGCTCCATAGGTTCATTAATACGGCAAACAATTTTCTCAATTGACATCTACCACTGCAATTCTGACAGCCCATAGACGAGGGTGGAGGGAGGGAGGAAACAATGAAGGAAATGTTCAGGACAATGACGGGAGTGAAAACCTTGTCTATTGGTCCATTCTAGGAGTCAGTGAAATAGTTCCAGTTTGTCTATTGACATACGGTGTATTCAACTTTGAAGTACTTTTAGACACTCACAAAATAACCATATTCTTATAATTATCATCATTAATTTTAAGATGCGATAAAATATATCAGTCAGCCAATACAAAAACCATCGTACTCAGTATCCAGGCAATTTGGACGCCAACTCAAATTGAGACAAATGGGAAAGCCTCTTTAGCACATAATGTTAAAGAATGTATCTGACTTCGTGAATGGAGATTGTCTTACTGCTCAAACTTTCTGCACAACTCCTCCGTCAACTTGCTGTTCAGCTGCCACTTCCCACAAACTCAAAACAACTTCCTCCTGCTCCATAACTTGACCCGAAATAAAGTAAAACTTTTAAAAGATGACAACATGAATCATTTGAGGGTACTCGCACGTCTCCTATTGGCAGTGAGTTCTCCTTCATAAGGGCTATCTTCTCATTTACCTTGGAGACCTCTTTCCATTGAAACATGAATCATCACACTTCCTTGGGTGAAGAAAGCAGTCAACGAATGAATTAAACACTAGCATTTGTATATCTGGTTACCTCGTCATTGCTATTTTATGGCTGCAAACTGTTGAACACATATCATGTGTTATTGCTAGACTTCTCACCTCGTGGATGAAGTATTGAAATCAAGTGGAAAGGGTCGGGCTACGTGATTAAAATCCTGCACATAGTAGACGAGTAATGAAATGGGAATCTCGAAATGTCAAATACTCATATGGCAAATTGTGTGCAGAACTGTGAAAGCCCACACATTTAATGTGAGTCCCACTTCCAGTGAGGCGATTTCAATTACTTTTTCCATTCGAAATTGCGAGTTGTGCACTTGTTGAGTGATCTCGCAGCCAATAATAGCCATCTGTGTTAGAAAGTAAAGGAGCCACTTTGATTGAACACCATCTTATATGTTACCGTCTTGCAGAAAATAATTGAAATAATCAATGTGTTGTTCAAGGCATAATCCACTTGTTAAAAGTCAATGAAAATGTATTCCGACATTCCCTTAGAATGCACAGATCCATTTCAATTCCAATTTGCCATTTGATCTCATGGTAAAGTATTAAAGGTCTTCCACGAAGGAGACTGTGAACAACTTTAATGGAGGTGGAAATTTCGTCAAATCTCAGAACTAGGTACCTACAGCCCACACTGAGTACTCTGATAACGAATTCATAAAGGTAGATTACTTTTTAATCCACTTAACATAATTCAAGTAAGATACAAGTTGAGTCAGTCTCTCTTTTAAGAAGACGCCTTTAATATGCGAGCATAGTTTATATTGATTCAGTATAATACAAACTTCGAAATTTTCGTACAGTGGTTCAAAGGTATTCCTTTTAACTCTCTCTCTCTCTCTCTCTTTCCCTTTTTTCGATTTCATTACTCCCATTGAGCTTCGATGGCTTGAAACTCGTCACCGAAGGCTATCGTTAAATCAACTTTAATTCGTGAAAGCAACTTGGCCTTCTGCAGCAGTAACAAATGTAGCTATAGTGCACTTCTACCAACGAAAGGGTTGATTATCCTTCAAGTTGTTGACACAATTGTGTTGACTATTTCGATGAAAATGTTTTTATTAAGTTCTTAGGCTTGTGGGACACTCCATCAATGACCGAATAGAAATCCTGCTATAGAATATTACTCAGAAATATTTAGCTATTAAAGTTCAAACGATGATGAAAGTTCGATATATATATCTATTCAACGAACTTTGTCTCCTATTAAAGAAATGATATCTGGAAATTGTTCAGTCGTTGCCCATAATGATGGCGGTGGGAGAGTAGTAGTAAAACCGCATCTCTCTCTCTCCCTCCCTCCCCACTGTGCAAATTTTCACATTTCTGTGTCCTTTTTGGTAATGACTCAATCTATCAAATGGGATTGAAAATTTCTTGAGCCTCTTAATGGATTTTCTAAAGCTATAACCCCGGTTTGTATAAATTGATATCTCAAATGAATTCCACATATCAGGTATTTTCGTATTATGACACAACGATAGAGTGATTATTTGATTGGCCTAGAGGGGAGAGAACGAAGAGAACAAAAAGCGAGCGTGTGCATCTACAGCCTTGTATTCGATTTCAATTTTATTTTGGGAACCAACCACCGAAACTGCCCTCATACAAACTTAGAAGTCAGACTTAACAATATCTTAGTCCAATGCAGTGGTAATTTGGGTCAAAATTTCCAAGTCTCATTCAGTTGCAGTCCATATTTATCTGTTGGTTCAAAACTTAATATTTAGTTTGCATAACTTTACTCATTAAACTTTCCGATTGGATTTTTAATTCGCCAATAATGTTTCAGGTAGTATGTGGAGTGAAGTTTAACACATTGAAGCATTAACTGTTTCCTGCGTCTTAAATTCTAAATCTTTCAGCAGAAACTTCAAATCTGTTCAAATAGTCGTCAACTTCAACGTTTTTGGCTTGAATAGGTTAAAAAGGCTTTAATTAAACGCCTCAAATTTTAAGATTTTGATCGGAATATTATCTACTTCTCTTAATAAGTACAATATTTAACTTCTGGAATGATATTAGCCTTGGGTAAGCATAGAAGCTCCATCAAATTCATACCTGTTACAACTTCAACTACTTTAAGCAAAGTAAATTAAAATAAACAAGGCGTTACTAGGTAATAGGTACCAAAGAATGCTAATTTCACAAAAATGCAGCACGTTCACTGAAAGAAGTGTCTGTCATTCAAAGGTCACAAAATCAATCGCAATTCTCAGAGAATTTCCATTTCTCCAAATTAACCTCCTCACCCCTCACTAACCAATGTTCAAAATTTATGTGAATTTTTTGACAATTCTGTAGATTTTAAATTACTATTAATATAAGCACTAGTTTGCTTTCTTTTAGAACAGAAATAATCTAATTTAGCGAACTTGGCCTGGCAGTAATTCGGTGTAAACTTGGAAAGCATAGCATTTTAGACTAAATAAGCTTAACGGTTTGTCAAATCCAGCAAAAACCAAAATCACCAAAAATTAAATTGCGATCGAGTCTTCTCTGTTCTCTACAGGTAGAAATAGGCATACTTTTGATGTTCTCAGCAAAATTTTGTTCTGCCTGAACATTGAGTAAATGGAGCTGTTAAGTACTCTAAAATTGCTAGATATCTCGCTTAAAATGCCAGAATGGCTTGAAGACGACAACTTGCAAGGCTTAACTCTAACTTAGTAGAGCTCCAATGAATTTGAATCCGGCAATATGTCGGCAGATTATGTCTCACATCACTCCACTTTGCATTCTGCGTTCTGCAATCAATATCATCGCATACTTTGAAGACCTGACGAAGTGTAATGGCAATCTCAATAACTTAAGGCAAGTTTTAATCAGCGAAACGGAGATTTTAGACACGAAACCTAATTTCTTTTAGGATTCAACTACGACGCAGCATCTTCAACCTCCAAATTAATTTCCTTCAAATGTTTGATCAACACTTTCTAAGCGAGGTAATTGAGGTGAAATTGTAGCGCAAGTATTGACTACCAAATGCGAATATCTACATTCATTGGCTACCATATTAAGCCCGCAAATTTAAAGTCACCCAATAGTAGATATTAATTAGAAAGATATTTTTTTAAGGCAACCCAGTTAAGTTCTGCTAACTTTCACGTTTTCTGCTAACATTACTTCCAGCATTTCCAAAATCTACTTTATTCCTTTGATCCACCCAAGTGAACCAATATTTCAGCACACACTTTTCCCGAACAGTGGCCATG